ACCTCACTAGCTTTAATCATGACCCGAACACGAGAAAGAAGGTAGCACTGCCATAACCCACACACTAGAAACAAAGAGACGTTGACAAGAGAGAAACTAGATTTTAGTTACTTTGAAGTCTCGATGAGATTATTATGCCACACGTTTTAGCTGAAGAAATGGGACTGCCATACCCTTTCGGTCAACAACAGGGTTTTCACGGTGGTTACTTCCAGCCAGTGCCTGAGGCAAAACAAAAACTTACGTCCATGTCTCATGAATCATTAGGGACATCTTTTCTGGTGTAGATTCACGAAAACCAGGTCAATACATTCAGCACTAACCACTGAAGTGTTTGGGCTTGGGAAGCCAACTGCATATCAAAGTCTGAACCAGTTTTGACCCAAACCAAAGGAATGGTCTGGTTTAAACCAAAAGACACAGTTGATACATTACACAAATCGAAAATATAATCAGGGTAACAATTATAGAATAAGCAGACATTCTTATACCTTACAACAATTCCCAAGTATCAAGATCGTCTCATAAACATACAAAGTTACAAAAAAGAGCTTTTGGGTTGTTCAGAGATGTAGTTTTTTTATCAACAAATAATACTCCATGCAATTAAAAATGGTATGTCAAAAGAGTTTAGTCAGCCCTTACCCCTCTGCTTATCAGAATCATGTTCTTATTATGTGCTCTCAGCTAAAACTAAATCCTGAGACTCAGGACTAGTATTTGAGTTCTTCATTGCTCGACGCCGTTTCATCCTACAAAACATAGGATTCAAAATGAGAATTGAGATAAAAATAAGAATATGCAAACCCATGAACAAATTAGCATCAACCAAAGTACAATTCCATGCAAAGAAGTTGTTTACTCATACCGAAAAACAATTGATTCAAAAGAAGAAATGAGATGCAAAGCAGAAAATTCCTAACCCATGAACAAATCAGCAGTGATTGAAGTTCAAGAAAAGTGCAATACAGTTTCGTGTGAAGAAAGTACAGTTCCTACTTAATACTGTTATTCTGTGGATAGATGCTTGAGTCGCAGGTTTTGTATCTATATATACATGTGATTTGAGATTGATCAAAAGCTTCATGTAACTCTTGATAAATTCTTTAGCTTTTAAAGCGTAGGAGAGGAACAAAATGATTTACCTTACGAAAGAGATGTATTTCTCTATCTCTGGTTTCTGCTCAGGGCTAAAGGCAGACCATTTTTCATGAGGACATAATTCACTCCTGCTTCCTAACTCTGCACACAAACAAAGGATATAGATTGAAATTACAATGCTCTTTGTCAAGACAAATAAAGAATTTTGTATGTTTTTTTTCACACCTTGGACCAAAATATTTGGTTCTTCATTAAAAGACTTCAATTTCCAGAATCTAAGACCATTATCATCAACTTCGACCGGGTTGGTCCTAAGAGCATCATCATATCCTTGACTCTCTGCAAAAACAATTAGAACAATAAGCCTCTAAACATATGATCATTGATATAAAGAATCAAAAGAGTAGATTTATACTTTTCGGTAGCATGTCCATTGCAGTTTGCATTTCAGAACGAACTTCTTCACTTTCAGCATTCATTTGTGATACAATTGCAATACGCTTTTCAAGAGTCAACGGAATCCCGTTGTTCTCTGTTACAGCTTTGGCCAACTCATCTTGCAACTTCTGCTTCAGTTGTTTCTCCTACAACAGAAAGGTTTTAGAATGGATTCAGTGTTGTCAAACTTTAAAATGTAAAGAGTTTGTAGATTTTATGGTTACCTTATCTTTTGCTGCATTCAACTTTTCTTTTGCTTCCTTTTTCCTTTCAATAGCTTCAATGTTATCAATGCAATTCCTCAGAACCCTGAAAATGTTCACAATATGTAAACCCTTAAAGCACCATAAGAAATAAAGAGACAGCTGATTCAGTATATGAATATCACTGTTACTTACGATGTGCCAAGTGCTTCATCACATAAGAAATTCAAAAGCTTAAGCCGGTTTGATGAATCCAAGTTCTCATAAGCAGAAATGCCTTTTTCAAACATCTCAGGAGGGAAGTCATCAACCTGAACTTCTGATTCCGAAAGACATTCTCCAACAGCAGTGAACCAAGTATCATCAGTTGCACTCAGGCAAACCGAACTATATTATTTAAAGATTGAAATCAATCAGAAATGCATAATTGTAGATTAAAGGTAATAGAAAACTTATTACTTTTCCAGAAAATGACTCTTACGTTGCTCCTCTATCTTCCAATATCACAGTCAGTAATTGGATTATCATCTGGGTGAGCGTAGAATGTTGTTGTCTCCTCGTGCTTCTCCCGGAAAACATTTCACGTATAACACATTCAGCTTGTCCTTTCCTCAGATCAAGAGCCTATCAAAAAGCCAAATGAAGCAAGTCAGAGCTATTAGTAAACCTTTCGAATATTCAAAGTTTTTATGTCAAAGTTAAGTACTTAATATTCTCAAGATACCTTTCCAAAAGCTGAACAAAACTCCAAAAACTGAAATACACTTCCAGCATCTTCAGGTGGAAATTCAATGCCAGAATCAACAATGAAGCTGATGCCTTCTCCCTGAGGTAGATTAACCTCCTCAAGCTGATACTCCTCTTTCTTTTTGAGAACGGGTTTGGTTCTCGTGATCTTACCGGCGATGTTGTTTCCCTTGACATCCTTAGCAGCAGCCTCTGCATCACAAACATACACGTGTTAGTCTCTTTTCAGCCGTACTACTGACATTCTCAGGAACATTCAAGTGAAAATCCTCTCACTCTTATTTTTTCCTTTAGCAACATCCGTCTCAGCTACGGAATCAGAAACCTTGCTCCTTTTTGGACTGCTCTTTTCTACTGCAGCATGATCATCACCAGAGCCGTTATTCATATCCTTAAGCTCTTCGCGTTTAGATTTCTTCGATTTTTTAATCTCAACATTGTTTTGCTCAATCGAATTCTCCTGACCAAGTTCTGGTGAAGCTACAACAGCATCTTCCTGCAGATACCGTTTAATCAATACAGACACAAAATAAGCTAAGATAAAACACAACAAGGATCTTTCGGGAATCTAGCACGTACCGGTTTCACCTTCCTCTGATAAAAGTATTTGTCAGAACCCTCAGTTTTAAGAAACTCAGAAACAGAAGAGAACCCAGTTGCTTTAGCTGTGTGCACCAATATCCCAGTAGGCCTCTGACCACGTTTCTTCCTGGAAAAACAAAACATTTTGACAAAATTTACAAAACCAGCTCTAATCAAACATTTTATAATCTTTTGACAAATTCAATGTAAATGGATAATTTTGACTTACATGCAGAGACTACAGTTGCAGTTGCCCCTACACTTGGGACAAACCCAATCGGTACTCAAGGCAACCTCTTCTGCGTTCTCTCCATACCTATAAGTTGAGTCAGAATCATACAACACAACATTCCTCATAACACAAAGACACAAATCTCAGAAACATCAAATCAAACCTGTTCAATAAGCACTTGGGACAGAACTTCATCGGACATGTCTTGTCTCGCTTCTTGGTCACGCACGACCCAACAATATCACTTCTCTTTTGACGACACTGCAACACAATACCATTTTGATTCATACATTAAACTCTATTCTCATACCCACAAAAAAAAAATCATAATTTTTCGTGATTACACCAAATCCATATAATCAATTTCACTACTGTTTAGCCAAATCCAATAAAATCAACCATGGATACACCAAATCGGATCAATAAAGTTATCAAGTTTTCGTGATTAAGGAAAAAAATCAGATTTTGACGAGTGCCCCTGTTTCAATTCAACATAGAGAAAACGCCTAAATTCGATTCACTTGGTGACTCTAATATCATAAGATGTTACTCGAATCCGTAAAATCAAATCCAACACCATTAACAGATCTCTGTCTATACGCAACCATAGATACACCAAATCGC